CCCCCCAATTCTTTCGCTTTCGCGAGCCATAGCTCGCGTTCGCGTAGAACAAACCTCAGATCCCCTTCCCAGGCCCTTTACTCTTAGCGTTCGCATAGTGCTGGTCGCGTTCGTGGAGGGTGATCCTACCACAGTTTCGCATGCGCATACACAATCTTACGTTCGCATAGAGAAAAACCTCCCCCGGCCCAGTTCACTCTTCGCGGTCACGGGAGTATCACCGTGATTGCGAAGAAGAATACACTAGGTATAGCAGTAGCCCAAAAACTAGAAACTTTTCTAAATTCAAATGGTGTGTAGCTTTTCCGAAACTCACCCGAACCCTCGGGGCTCCAAACCAAACATACACACAAGTCCAACAACATCATATGAACTCGCTCTCTCAATCAAAATACTAAAATAACACCTAGAACTATAAATTGGATACCAAAACGGATGAATTTTTCAATGAAACTTACGAACATGCAATTTTTTCAACCAGACGTTCAAGTCATGTCAAATTAACTCCGTCTTGCACCAAATTTTGAAGAAAAGTCATAAATACTGTAATGAACTTATACCAAATTCTGTAACCGAAATCCGAATATGTTAGCAACAAAGTCAACCTACGGTCAATGTCAAGAATTCTTTAACCCTTTAAATTACTAGTTTTCAATAAATTATGTTAGATCAAGCTAGGGGCTTCCGAATTCGATTTCGGGCATACGCCCAAGTCCGAAATCATGATACGGACCCACCGGGACCGTCAAAATACTGGTCCGGATCCGTTTACATAAAACGTTGACCGTAGTCGTCTCAAATGAGCTTTAAGGTACGATTTTATATTTTCGTCAATTTTCTCATAAAACCTTTCCGGAATGAGGACACAGACTATGCACACAAATCGAGAAAGGATAAACGGAGCTATTCGAGATCTTGTAACACAGAAATAAAAGATAAAACTATAAATGACATATCGGGTCATCACATAGTTGGAGTCTGAATTATGATCATTGAGAGCGAAGTCAGAAATATTTTTGAGGGTATTCAAATTTAAAAAAAAAAGTAAAAATAACTCCCCGATAAAGGGTGTTCCATATATATTATATATCTCTAAAGTATGATATTTTACTTATATACACGCTATAATTTTTCGACGAAGGATGGTCAAATTAAGCACCCTTAGGACAATATAACTTCGTCTTTGAGCCTCAAAATGATTTAACTTGTATACACTTCTACGATAGTTTTAACTTATATATATAAATAATGTTCACATTATTTATATATTTTAGTTTATTATAGAAAGTCAGTTATTTTAATTTATATTACCAAGTTAAGCTTATTTTAGACAGCGTAATATCTGTTTTTTAAAATTATTTTAATTTGGTAAACAAAAGAATTATTATACACGCGGCAATTAAACTCATATAGTAAAAATGGTTACACCAAACCTCAACCACTTCAAGATTTTAGACAGAGTAGGAAAAGCCTACGGAAACAGGGCCAGGTCCAGCGTAGCGATGCCGAGTTCATCTGAACCCATTACTTTCAGCACGAAACATAAATTTATGTACAAAACATATTTGAATTAGAAACAAATAGTAAATATAACTCATAACTTTAACCATACAAAAAATTCAATACTAATTTTTTTAGATAATGAATGCATAAAATTCAAATTCGGAATCCGTCTGTAACCATGGAAAACATGAGTGGAGCCAAATCAGTTCTCCAGATATAGTTATTATGTGGCAATTCCAAGTTTCAACCACAGAATAAGATACTTGTTTCACAAGCCAAAGGTTTTGTAGTTTCAGATTACAGACCTATCTGTCGCCACTCAACTTCATGCACGTTTATGTTTTTTTATGAATGGCCCTACTTTAAGTGAAAAAGAATCAGAATTCTGAGAAAGAGGTGTTAACTCAATATTTCTCGATCACCAAAAGAAATAGAAAAAAAACAAAGGATTTTGTCATTTTGGTAGATGTAGGGTGGCTATTTCCATAAACTCATTAGATGGTGGGGTTCCATTGTTAATGTCTTTAATTCTTGGCCATACAACTCTTCTTTCTTTAGTGATCTAAATATTGACTNGGGCAATACCACTCCCAAGATCCTCTTTTGCAGTTTCTTGCCTTAATCTTTTTTTTAAAGAGAAAACCGATCATTTTTAGCCAATTTACTTTATTAACCCTTAAGAAATAACATAATTGATTTTATACCATCAAGGTACAGTGAAATGGATAAAATTCCTCTGAATTCGAATTAGTCGAGCCTCAATAAGAATATCGGATATCTATTAGAAAACCAAACGAAAGTTGATTTTATAAAATCAGAAAATATGGTAGAATAATCAGAGTTGGTTATAGTAGGCGTTTGGACCTAAGAATTGTGAAATTCCAAAAAAAAAAGTAAAAAAAAAATTCAAGTGAAAATGATATTTAAAAATTAAGTTGTGTTTTGGCATGAACACAATTTGAAGCTGTTTTTGAATTTTTGTGACAGATTTAAAGTGAAAATTTTGAAAAATAGTTTTTTGGAGTTTTTCAAATTTCGGAAAAATTTCGAAATCAACTTTAAATGAAATTTAAATTTTTCATGGCTAACCATTGCTTCCGAAAAATAGTGAAAAAATTTCGAAAAAAGTGAATTTTTTTATGGCCAAACGGACCCATAGTATATACTGTTCCTGTAAAACTCTTATATTTAATTTTTTTACTTTATTAAGTCTAACAAAATAACACAAAAAAGAAGGTTCATGAAAAAGTAATCTAAAATTCCTATAGTGGCAATATTGTCTTTCTAACCACATTCCTATTTTCCCCACGAAAATCATGCCTTAGAAACAAGATACCCCTACATTCACAAACTCCTATAAATGGCCACTCTCAACCACATTTTCTGGCACCTCTATTTTCCTTAAAACAAGATTTAAAGATGTGTAGGGGAACAAAAGCTGAAGAGGATACTAAACCAAAAGCCTATTGCCTGAAAGAGAAAGAAGCCAATATTGGCTCTATAATTTATTGTGAGCTGTGTAGTTCAGAAGCTTCTGTTTATTGTCAAGCCGACAATGCTTATCTTTGCAGGAAATGCGACAGATGGGTTCATGGGGCTAATTTCTTGGCTCAGAGACACGTTAGGTGCTTTCTTTGTAACGTTTGCCGGAGCTTAACACGGCGGTTTTTGGTCGGAACTTCGTCGGAAGTGATAATTTTGCCTTCAGTTGCCAGTTTGGAACAGAGAAGTAGAAGGACGGATGCTGATTCTGAATCAACTGACTCAAGAAAAGAGCCTTTCTTGTTTATCTGATGTGTTATGTTTTTTTTTTCCAACTTCCAATTGNGGGGGGGTTTAATTCTGGTCTTGGACTATATCTAGAGTAGTGTAAATTCATGATTGTACAATATTAGCGGTTAATTGCACGGATAATAATTCAACTCGTTGCATTACAGTTACTAAATTATTCTTGAAATAAGAGAATCACCAAGTTTACATAAAACTCACTAAACTATTTTATGGAAAAGAAATAGCTCAATCTTTCCCTAAGTATCACAAAAACTTTTCATTATTCTGTCAAAATTGATCAAGGTCATGTGCATGGGCATTGTAGTCTTTTCGAACAATATCAGAAGCTATAGATGCTTACCAGTTTTAAATGATAGTCACGCAATAAAAGGTAAAATGATAAAACAATTAATGCAAGTGTTGTGTGTCTCTACAGGACTATTGAGTGAAGCTGAAATTTTACTTTTAATAGTTTAGGACTATTAAATGAAGCTTTACATTTGCTATATAAAATTTAGATGGATATGAAATACTCCTATTGAATGAAAGTCAATGTAAAAGAAAAAATGACACTAATAGCCGCTATAAAAATAATAATCGAAAAAATATATTAAATTTGTATATTTTTTGTGTTTAGATTCATTATGTATATTATATAAATTTTATACACTTTTTCGATTACGAAATATAAATAGTTTCTAGTATGGGCTAAAAGTGATAATACCCCTATATAAAAACACATAGTGTAGTCCATGTGTATGAAGGATTACGTATAGGTGTTCGTGACACGCAGCGGAAGACAATAACAATCCTAGGCAAATCTTTTCGTGTTTAAAATTTATTTACATGCCAAAGATCGGATCTAAGACGTACCTGGTAAAGAGAGTCTCGTTTCAAAATTCTTTGATAGTGCGAAGACTCTATGCATATCAACACCGAGACCGATCCTTTGCTATCAACTCTTTGATCAATGAAACCCGTGAACAAAATTGAACAAAATATTGTGCTGAAATTTTTCTCAAAAATTCCAACTCAAAGGTACAAGAACAAGAAATATTTTTTTTTGTAATTGTATTTTCTTTCTTGGCTTTGAATTGTACTCTCACTTTCATAAAGTGGTTTTCTTACTGCTCATCCGAAGTTGTAACTTCCTCACGTTATTTGATGATGTGTGTATATATATACTCTAGCACCAAACTGTTTCCTTGGGTTAACTAGAAAAATCGTAAAGACCAATGCATAAATTGAACTTTCATAATTTTATATAGAAAACTACTAATCCCATTACTCATGGGATAATGAGAGCCGCACATCCTTTATGGACTTTCTACTTAATCCAACTCAAAGTTGGTTTTAACTTATGAGCCCTTTTTAATAATATTTTCCTACTGAAAATATAATCCCATTCCAAATGGGTTTGAGTTGCCAACAATTACTTTTTTGTCGATTTTACACGTGAATTCAATTCTAACTTGAATTCCACAACTTAGTCAACATTATAGTCATATACACAAATATTAATTATAATTACCAAGTACATATATATATATATATATATAAGAGATGTAATTTAATTTTCTATTCCAAATAGAAAACTTCAATTTGTTTACCATATTAATTATATCTTCTGTGCTAGCAAAGAATATAATAATATTTTATTAGGACTAATAACTAAATTATTTGACTTATTAAATTCTATAATTTAATTATCAAATAGTAAAGTAATTAATCCTTTAACAAAGATCACAACACTCGTTAGTGTGCGACCCCATAGGTTCAATACTAAGCCGGTAGTAAATTAATCAGATCAATATACTAATCAAGGGTGTTGTCTAGCAACACTCCTTAACGACTGGATAGAATGAAGTATACAATTTACTCTTAAGAACCAATAGAAGAATAATATAGTAATTCCTTCTGTCCTTATAGCTCTGGATCACCCTAGGATATGGTTCAACTGTCAAATCCTAATAAGCGACCAACTATGTGTTCATGTCAAATATAATCAACCATTGAATGACCTAAGAAACTCTTTTCTTCTTTCATTCAATTGCCCTGGCCAAGGTCTTAGTTTGGTCGTTTATAATTCATGACAACATGGAGTTTAAACTCATTATCAAGACTTGACAGATTCCATCTTGATCAATCACTAATTCTACAAGCATTTAATCATACCCAATATCCTTTCAACTATCGCCCTAGGGCCATAGGTGTCTGGTATCAAAGCACAATAAATAACTTGTCAATTATTATAATGATATCAGGTCAAAGGAAATATTTACATCGCATTCTTCAAGAGAATATCCTATTGACAGTTATGATAATACTAACCATTTGGAATTATCCAATGAGTCGGTTCAATGATCATATCTCTATATACATCATCTATCTATGTGATTTAGTTAATGAGATCAACTAATCTTTATCCAATAAAGATGATCAGATAATTATTGATCTAACCGGATTATTAATGTCCAAATTAATAATCCTACGATCAAGAACAAATTTAGATTTAATTATAAAAGACTTTGCTCTCATTATCATGATCTCTATCATGATGACAAATCTCAAAAATCAAGGACCTTATCAAATTAATCAAACAATTAATAATAACTATGATAAAAGAATGCCATATTTTGTTATATCAAATAACGTTCACAAAAATATGTTCAAATCATCAAATATGAGATTAGATCTAGTGCATATCTACTATATCCCTAACAATCTCCCACTTGCACTAGAGCCAATCGCCCTTGTACTTCATTCCCAATTTCTACTTGCGCTTGTCAAACTCTTTTGCACCAAGATCTTTAGTGAATGTGTCTGGAGCATTTTTCTTTCCATAAACCTTTTAAATCTAGACGTCTCCACGTTTAGTGATCTCTCTTATCAAGTTATACATTCGCAGAACGTGTTTGGATTTTTGGTGTGATCTTGGTTCTTTTGCTTGAGCAATGGCTCTAGTGTTGTCACACAACAATAGAATTGTACCTTCTATTGAAGGAACCACACCAAGTTCAGTTAAGAACTTTTTCATCCATACAGCTTTCTTAGTAGCTTCACTAGCTACTATATATTCTGCTTTAGTCACTGAATCAACTACTGTAGCTTGTTTGGAACTTTTCCAACTCACTGCACCACCATTTAAGGTAAACACATAACCAGAAATAGATTTGCTATCATCTTTATCTGAAGAGAAACTTACATCAATTTAACCTTCAAGTTTCAACTCAGAATATCCATAAATGAGGAATTGGTCATTAGTCCTTCTTAAGTACTTAAGAATGGTCTTCACCATCTTCCAATATTCCTCACAAGATTTGCATGGTATCGGCTAGTTACTCCAAGTGCATAAGCCATATCAGGATGTGTACATGTCATAGTATACATGATAGCTCCCACTACACTAGCGTATGGGATCCTACTCATGCGTTCTCTCTCTTCAGGTGTTTTAGGACAATCCTCCCTACTGAGAGTAATTCCAGTGTCTATCGGTAGATAGCCTCTTTTGGAATTATCCATATTATACCTCTTTAAGATGGTATCAATGTACAAAAACTGGGAAAGTCCAAGCAGCTTCCTAGATCTATCTCTATAGATCTTTATTCCTAATATATAAGCTGCTTCTCCCAAGTCTTTCATGGAGAACTATTCAGATAGCCAAATCTTAGTACTTTGCAATGCCGGTATGTCATTCCCTATGAATAAAATATCATCAACATACAACACTAAGAATATAATTGTGCTCCCACTAACCTTTTTGTACACATAAGGTTCTTCTTCGCATCTAATAATTGAACTTTTCAATTGTCTTGTTAAAGCGAATATTCCAACTTCGAGAAGCTTGCTTTAGTCCATAAATGGATCTTTGTAGCTTGTAAATTTTATTATGAACAGATGAAGATGTAAAACCTTCAGGTTGTGTCATGTACATATCCTCTTCTAGCTTACCATTAAGGAAAGTTGTTTTCACATCCATTTGCCATATTTCATAATCATAGTATGCTGTTATAGCAAGCAAAATCCAAATTGATTTGAGCATTTCCACCGGAGAGAAAGTCTCGTCATAGTCAACTCTTTCTTTCTGACGATATCCCTTGGCAACAAGATGGGCTTTGTAGGTCTCCACCTTTCCGTCTACTCCAATCTTTTTCTTAGAAACCCATTTACAACCTATAGGTTTTATATCCTTTGAAGGTTCAACTAAAGTCCATGCTTCATTTTCCTTCATGGATTCCTTTTCGGATTCCATGGCTTCTTACCACTTCTCATCATTAGAACTTTGTATAAACTCTTCATAGGTCTTAGGGTCATCATTATAATGATCAACCTTATTTGATACATCATCTTGTACCATTAAATTTAATCTAGCTGGTACATGACGTTCTCGTGTGGACCTTCTAAGAGGTACTTATACAACCTGTTCACCTTGTGCTGGATTTGGTTGTTGTTCAATTTGGTTTGGAACTGGTTCATTAACCTGTTCTTGAACTTTATTTAGTTCTTGAACTTCAACCGTTGAAGATGGCAACTTCAAAACATCCAATAAAGGTTCTTCAACTTGGGTTTCATGATCTTTACATTGTGTTGATTCATTAGTATCTTGAACTTCATCAAGTTCTATTTCTGCATTACAATTTCCTTCTAAAAGAAATTCCCTTTCCAAAAAGGTTTCTCCTCTGGCCATAAACACTTTATAGTCAGAAGGATGATAGAAATAATATCCTATTGTTTCTTTGGGATACCCAATGAACCTACACTTATCAGATCTTGAGTCAAGTTTATCAAACTGTAGTCTCTTAACATAAGATGGACAACTCCAAACTTTAATATGTTTAAGGTTAGGCTTACATCCTTTCCATATTTCATATGGTGTTGTAGAGACTGACTTAGTGGCAACTTTATTAAGTAAGTATGTTGCTGCTTCCAAAGCATATCCCCATAAATTTATTGGAAGATCAGTGAACCCCATCATAGATCTCACCATATCTAATAAGGTTCGATTTCTCGTTTCAGACACACTATTGTGTTGTGGTGTTCCTGGAGGTGTC